CAGCCCCTCTGTGTTCTGCACTGGGGACCCCAAACCTCAGCTGGGGTGGGGGTGAAGCTCCACTAATGACCCCACAGAGGATCCATTGGGGGGTCCCTCACTGGATCAAAGATTGGCCACTCAAGGAGTTGTGGCCAATGGCTCCATGCCCAGAGGATGAGTGGGGTCCCTCAGGGTCTAAACTGGGACCAGTATCCGGGAACAGCCTTATTGGGGACACAGATGGGGGTCACGTGCAGGTGACATCGAGCTGAGGGGGCAGGTGACAGCCCAGGGGGGCTCATCCCACAGCAGGGGAGGGGGTTCTGCCCCTCTGCCCCCTCAGGGGAGACCCCACCTGCAGAGCTGCCCCCAGCTCTGGGGCACCAACACAGGGAGGATGTGGAGCTGTTGGAGCAAGTCCAGAGGAGGATTTTGGGAAGGAATTCCTCCCTGTGAGGGTGGGGGGGCACGGGCATCGATTTCCCAGAGGATCTCTGGAAGTGTTCAAGGCCAGGCTGGATGGGGCTGGGAGGTGGAAGGTGTCCCTGTGCACAGCAGGGATGAAATAACCCTTAAGGTCCCTCCCAGCCCACCCCACCCTGTGGCTCCATGGTCACTCCATGATTTTCCACCTCTGTGACACACAGGCAGGGACAGAGGAGCCGTGTGCTGTTCCAAAGTCTTCCCAGCTGGGAGGGGGCCCAGGTGGAGCCCAACTCACCAGGTAGGCCACGAAGGACAGGTAGATGACACTGAGCACGGCGGCCCCGATGTACAGGCCCAGGTTGTGGAGGTCCCTCACGTAGGCCACCACGAAGTACATGTTGATGCTGCAGATGAGGAGGATCAGGAGGCCCCCGGCCACCTTCCAGAACCTGGGGGCAAGGAGAGACACAGCGGGGTGAGCACAATGGGGGGGATGGCCCAGGCCAGGAGGTGCCCCAGGTGAGGTGCTCCAGGTGAGGAGGTGCCCCAGGTGAAGAGGTTCCCAGGTGAAGAGGTTCCCAGGTGAGGTGCCCCAGGTGAGGAGGTTCCCAGGTGAGGAGGTTCCCAGGTGAGGAGGTTCCCAGGTGAGGAGGTGCCCCAGGTGAGGAGGTGCCCAGGTGAGGAGGTGCCCTGGTGAGGAGGTTCCCAGGTGAGGAGGTGCCCAGGTGAGGACGTGCCCAGGTGAGGACATGCCCAGGTGAGGGGCAGGTGTGACCAGGGGGTTCCCGTGGTACTCACAGGCCATTGGCGAAGTCGTGCATCACAGTGGGCAGGCTGGTGAAGGTGAGCACTGGGATCAGTGCAAAGGGGAGCTGGAACAGGCAGGAAAACAGGGAAGAATGAAGAGTGGGAAGTGGCCTGATTATCATGGAGTGCTGGAACAGTTTGGGTGGGAAGGGACCTTAATGCTCATCCCCACCCCCTGCCATGGGTAGGGAGGGACTCCTTCCACTGACCAGGTTGTTCCAAGCCCCATCCGAGCTGGTCTCGAGCACCTGGGGGCTGGGAGGGGCCTGATCCCACCTGGCTGGGAACACCTGGGGCTGGGAGGGGCCTGACTCCACCCGGCTGCCCCTGCTCACCTGGAGGCTCATGAGGACGTTGAGGAAGTCGTTCATGCCCGTCAGGTGCTCGACGTCCTGGAAGATGGCGACGAAGAGGGTGGGGGTGACGGCGATGGAGCGCGTGAGCAGCACCCGGGCAAAGCGGGACCAGCGCAGGTTCAGGAACCCCTGGGGGGGCACAGGGTGGGCGAGGGGTGAGAAAGGGCTGAGCAGCGAGGAGAGTGGAGCACAGGAGCAGCACAGGGCCAGGAACCCCTGGGGGGGCACAGGGGTGAGGGGTGAGATGGCAACGAGGGAGGGCTGAGGAGGGAGTGAGGAGTATGGGGTGAGGAGTACAGAGGAGTAATGAGTAAGGAGTACTGAATACAGAGTAAGGAGTATGGAGAAGGTAGTGAAGAGTAAAGAGTAAGCAGTAAGGAGTACAGAGTGAGGAGTAAGGAGTGAGGAGTAAGGAGTACTGAATACAGAGTAAGAAGTACAGAGGAGATCAGTCCGGAACACGAAGCAAGGAGTCCAGAGTAAGGAGCACAGAACCCAGAGCAAGGAGGGAGCAGGGGGTGAGGAGCAGGGGGATGGTACCTCCATGACGAACTGGCCCGAGTAGGTGCCCGTCATGGTGGAGCTCTGCCCGGCCGCCAGGATCCCGATGGCCCAGATGTAGAGAGCGGCAGGGCCGAAGTAACACCCCAAAACAACGCCCTGGAACAGGATGGGGGGCAGCTCTGTCATCTGAGTGAGGGGTGGGCTCAAGGACCCCCAGGATCTCTTCCCCCCGACTCTGTGTTCAGGGATCCCTTTGCTGGTCCCAGTCCCCAATGCTCCCAGTTTACCCAGAAGCAGCAGCTGCCACCAGACAGGGCCACCAGCTGCCCCAGATGTGGCTGTGCCAACCCAGGGACACCAGATGGGGTCATGAGGCTGTCCCCTCACCAGGAACACCAGACAGGATCACCAGCTGCCCCAGATGTTGCTGTCCCTCCCTGGGGACACTGGACAGGGTCACCAGGCTGTCCCAGATGTGGCTGTCCCACCCCAGGGACACTAGATGGAGTCACCAGGCTGTCTCAGATGTGGTTGTCCCCACCCTGGGGACCCTAGACAAGGCCAACAGGATGTCCCCAAGCCACTCCCCTGGGGACACTCACCCCCTTGTATATGTCCACCTCCAGTGTCTCGTTGTTGTTGGGGAAGAGCGAGGAGTGGGGGCTGCTGGAGTTGACACAGACCTGGTTCTGCAAGGGCAGAGAAGGGCAGGAATCAGGGAATGGGCTGGGGTGGAAAAGCTTTTGGGATCATTGGGTCCAGTGGTGACCCCAGCACTGCCAAGGCCACCACTGACTATGCCCCCAAGTGCCACATCCACACAGTTGTTAAATCCCCTCAGGGATAGGGACTCCACCCCTGCCCTGAGCAGCCTGTTCCATGAAGGAATTTTCCCTAAAATCCAACCTAAACATCCCCCAGCAGCCTTTTCCTCTCGTCCTGTCACTTGGGAGCAGAGTCCAATCCCCATCTGGCTGCAGGGAATTGCAGAGCCAGAAGGTCCCCCCTGAGCCTCCTTCTCTCCAGGCTGAGCCCCCCCAGCTCCCTCAGCTGCTCCTGCTGCTCCAGCCCCTTCCCAGCTCCGTTCCTGGCTCTGGACATGCTCCAGCCCCTTGAGGTCTTTGACCCCAGGACTCAGGGCTGGGCCTCAGCAGTGCCCAGCACAGGGGAAGGGGCACTGCCTTGGTCCCTCAGTCCCAGTCTGTCCCAGTCCCCCTCACCACGTCCGCGTTGGTCTTGTTGAAAAAGGCCTCAGCGAAGACGGCGACCACGAAGATGTTGATGATGAAGGACACGAAGAGCGCGATGCACGACTCGATGAAGAAATACTTGTTGGCATCTCGCACCTGCCGCTTGTTCGAGCGATCCACCTGCCTGGACTGGGGGACAGGGACAGGATGGGGGGTGGGAATTCACGGTTATCCTCGGAATTATGGCTGATTGAAGCGATGGTGGGACACAGAACATGCCCTCAGGTCCCACACCCCACGATGGCCACGAGCTCCTCTGAGGGGGTTTTCCGTGTCCCCCTCCCACGGTGGGACCCTCAGGACCCTCCCCACCCCCAGGTGCTCACCTTGACCAGGGCAGAGTGCAGGTACATGTTGTGGGGCATGATGACAGCGCCCACGATGCCCACGGCCTGCTCCAGCTGGGGCGTCCCACAGTCCTTGCAGTAGGGGATGAACAGCCCCTGCAGCACCTTCTCCTGGTTGGGCTTCACCGTGATGTACTGGGGACAGGAAAATGGGGGATTTGGGGCTGTGACACGTTGGCTGCTCCACAGCTGATATGTGGCTGTTTTGGTAAAAAACGAAACCACGAGCCGACTCAAATCTGCCCAAAATGTGGCTTTTAAGTGTCCATCACCATGTTTGGTGCTGATTTGGGATCGTAGGATTGAATCACGGACTTGTTAGGGTTGAAAGAGTCTCTGGGATCGTTGGGTCCAGCACTGGCACCAGCACTGCCGAGGCCACCACTGACCATGTCCCCAGGTGCCACATCCACACAGCTGGTAAATCCCCCCAGGGACAGGCACCTCTCTCTGCCCTGGGCAGCTGTGCCAGGGCTGGATACCCCTTTCCAGGAAGGGATTTCCCCTAATATCCAGCCTAAACCTCCCCTGAGGCCGTTTCCTCTCCTCCTGTCACCTGGGAGCAGAGCAGAGCCCAACCCCGCCCCGGCTGCCCCTCCTGTCAGGAAGATGTTGGGGAGGGAGAAGGTCCCCTCTGAGCCTCCTTTTCTCCAGGCTGAGCCCCCCCAGCTCCCTCAGTTCTCCAGCCCCTTCCCAGCTCCATTCCCAGCTCTGGACACGCTCCAGCCCCTCAGTGTCTCCTGGAGACAGGGGGTACCTCGTATCCAAAGGTCAGTGCCATGATGGTGATCAGGAACCCAAAAAACGCCTCCAGCTTCCGCAGGCCTGCGAGGAGGGAAAGGCCCCTTGTCAGCAACCCGAGAAACCCTCAATCTCAGATTTAATTCCTGGAATTCTGAAGGATAAATTACCATATTTGTCGAGGAAGAGGAAGACAAAGGTGTCAGCAATGGTGATGAGCACCCCCCCCCAGAGCGGGATCCTGCAGGAGAGAGTGGGGTCAGTGCACACCCAGAGTCCCAAATGCCCTTTATTTAGGGCTTTTTCTGGGATGGATCTGCATGTCCAGGGGTTCTTCCCAGCCTGAGCAGGCGTTGGGATGTGCAGGGCTGTGTCCTGCTCTGAGGGAGGCGACCCTCTGAATCCTGAGGGAAACCTCAGGTCTGTCTGTTCTAGTTCCATTTCCTGCCTTCCCAGCTCAAAGGACGCCTTCCCAGGAATCCTCTATGGGATGTGGAGTTTGGCAGGAAGCTGCACCCCAATTGTGTACCAGTCAGAGCTAAAACCAACTCCAGCCCCTGTGGGTCCCACAGTTGAAATCCAGCACTGGAGGCTGAGTCAGCGATGAGACCTCGGCTGGTGGGGGTGACTCACGTCCTCAGGGCTGAGCTGGGGGCATTTATGGGGTGATAGAGTTTTTGGTTCCCCTTTCTCCTCATTTCCTGCACAACCCCAACTCACTTGCCCACAGAGAGCAGGTTGATGGCGATGGCCGAGCCGATGACCTCCTGCATGTCCGAGCCGATGATGGCGAGTTCCACCATCAGCCACAGGATGATCCGAGGGAACTGGGGGCAAAGAAACACCCAATGCCATGAAAAACAGGGGAAAATGTCTCCTCCCACGGGGCTGTGGTGATCTCATGTGCAGGAATGGGATCCTCTCCCTGCCCTGGTTGTTGGTGACCATCACTGCAGCTGCCCTGGAGCTGAAATCCCAGCTCCTGTGGCAATCCCGGGGAGGATCCGGGTCACTTGTGTCACCCCATTCCTGCCCTCGATACGTCCTATTGTGAGAGTGAGACGTGGTATTTCCCTGTATGGACACACTGGGAAGGAGCACTGGGACATGTTCCAGGTGGGAGCACTGACACGGTGTCGGGGTTGGAGCACAGAGACCAGGCACCCCCAGTGTCCCCACAGCCCTTCCCAGTGCACAGGGCTGGGACATTCCCAGTGTCCCCACAGCCCTTCCCAGTGCACAGGGCTGGGACATTCCCAGTGTCCCCACAGCCCCTGCCCGGGCCAGCCTTGCTCATCATCATCAGCCCTTCCTTACACAAGCCTGAGGAACTCCCAAGCAGAGGAGGGAACAGCCAGGGAGTGGTTTTGACCTAAAGGGCCGTTTCTCTCCCTCTAATTCCTTGGGATTATTTCAGTATTCCTACCTCAGGAGGCAGCTGAAAATCCCGGATTTTCTTCCTGACTGGCAAATACCAACATCCCTCCCCTCCCTCCTTGTGCTTCCCAAGCCGGGACAGCACTGAGGGACCCCAAAACATCCTCCACCTGCCCCATTAACAGCCCAGGCCCTCACCAAGCCCTCATGGCACCACCAAGGACATGGGGGGGTTCACTCACCTTTTGACCCCCCCATCTCCTCCAGCCCCCCAGCACTGTCCCCAGCCCCCCTTGGCACCCCCGAGGGCCCCGTGGGGGTGTCACCCCCCTTGTGGTACTGGCGGTGGCAGACCTCAGCCAGGTGCAGCCCCGTGACCACCCCCAGCCGCGCCGCCAGGCGCTGCAGCAGCAGCCCGATGACCGTGGCCAGCAGCAGCACCCACAGGAGCTGGGACAGGGACACAGGGGGGACACGCAGATATGAAGACACAAATAGGTGGGGAGACACAGAGAGCCACCCACAAGGCCCCAGGCCTGCCCCAAGCCCACAGTTCTGTGTTGAAAATCAAATTATTGACATTTTTGAGGCAATTACACACCAGGAGCTGCGTGGGACGGGATGGATCCAAAGGGACACAAAGGCAGGATCTAGGACCCTCCTGCCCCCCGCCCCCGGGTGTTCCCACCACCACCAGCCCCACATTCCAGATGGGATGTGGGTCTCCCCTGACCTTGAAGCCGGCGACGGCCCCGGACTGCAGGTCGGACTCGATGTTCCCGGGGTCCAGGTAAGCGATGCTCATCAGGAACCCGGGGCCCGTGAACGCCCACAGCTTGCGGAAGCTGAAGCAGGAATGCTGTGGGAAAAGAGGGACATGAGCAGGGCTTGGGGCAGCGCCCTCACTGACACTGCAGACAGCAGCTGGAGGGTCAGCCTGAGCCTTAACCCCATCCTAACTGATCAGCCTGAGCCTTAACCCCATCCTAACTGATCAGCCTGAGCCTTAACCCTGTCCTAAACTGATCAGCCTGAGCCTTAACCCTGTCCTAAACCGATCAGCCTGAGCCTTAACCCTGTCCTAAACTGATCAGCCTGAGCCTTAACCCCGTCCTAAACCGATCAGCCTGAGCCTTAACCCTGTCCTAAACTGATCAGCCTGAGCCTTAACCCTGTCCTAAACTGATCAGCCTGAGCCTTAACCCTGTCCTAAACTGATCAGCCTGAGCCTTAACCCCATCCTAAAATCCTGCCTATTCCTTAATCCCATCCCAAAGTCTGCTTTAGGATGTCTGGTCCCAGTCTGAGGAGTTTAGGCTGAGAATAAAGGCCAAGGCCACGCTCAAGGAATCTCAGGGGGGAGTGGGATCCTCCCTCCCCAGCAGCCAAAACTGGGGGCTCCAGCCAAGGGCAAGAGGCACCCACAGCCCTGGGATGGGACAAGGGACAAGGAGACAGGGCTGTCACAAGGCCAGCCAAGGCTCCTGCTCCCTGATAAGGGAACACAGGGCCAGGTCCCTCCCTGAGGTATGACAAGGCCTTTCCCTGCTCCAAGCAGGAGCCAAATCCCAAGGGATGAATCATTAACATGGCCCTCACCCCTCTCCAGACCACAGGAGACACCTCCCCCACTTCCCTCCCAAATCTCCATCTCCCAGTCACCCTTCCCAATCTAGGAGACCCCTCAGCCTTTCTCTCCCAAATCTCCATCCCCAGGTCCCACTTCCTAGTCCAGGAGAACTCCATCCCCTCCTCTTCCAAATCCCCATCTCCAGACCACCCTTCCCAGTCCAGGCTGGAAGGGGAAGCGGTGCCCATGGGAATGACTCAGGTGCCTGAGGCAGATTTTTCCATGGGGTTTTTCTCCCTCACCGTCTCATCCTCGGGGATTGGGATCTTGCTGTCGAAGTAGGTGGTGAAGGGCTCCTCCTCGGTGTCCTCGGGGGGCTGCAGGGGGCTCCTGCTGCTGGAGATGGTGCTGACCACCCCCCCGAGTCCCCCGGGCTCCCCAGAGACATCCTCTGCAGGGAGAGAGGGAATGGGAATAGTGAGAATCCCTGGAAAGACAAGAAATTCTGGCGAGGGCTGGCAAGCCCCACAGGCAGAGTAGAACGAGCCAGCCAATGCTAATTAGGTGATAAAGAGATAATTAAATCAAAATATCCCACAATGCTGCACCCCCCAGAGCCTGCTGCTGTCCTGGAATCTCCTCTCCCGCCCGGTCCCAGGCTGGAGCCAGGGATTTATTTATTCCAACTAATTTTAAAAGCCCCATCCCAGAACACAATGTGGAGTGAGGGCAGTGCCAGTGCCCCTGCAATGATTAACCAGGCTGGATGACCCAGATTCCATGGAAACCTGGGGCTGCTCCTGCACCACTATCCCAGACTCTCCCAGCTGGATCCCAGAGACACACGTCTGGAAGTGAGGGACAGCTGGGAGATACCACACAACTCTCCCCCCAGGGAGAGCCAGCACTGAGAGAATTCCAGGAGTTTCAAAAGGTAAGGAGTGAGGAGAATGTCCAGGAATGGACACACTCATTCCCACATTCCAACCCCAGCCCCCCCCACCTCCAGCAGAAGTCTCGATCCCGATCCCGTACTCACTCCCAATCCTGTTCTCACTCCCAGTCCTGCTCTCTCTCCCACTCTCCCCACGGGACATTTCCCTCCGGGAGCAGCGTCCCAGCGCTCTGGGCTCAGACAGGGCAGCTCTTGGCCCAGCTCTCCTATTGCATCACCACCGAGCTCCTCCTTTTCCCGGGGCCTCCCAGAAACCTGCCAGGGCCACATTTACATAAGGGATTTGGAGCTGCCCAGGTGTGCAGAGATCCCTGCCCAGGACATTCCTGCCAAGACGTTCCTGCACAGGCTGGGCTGGTTCGGCTGGTTCAGCCAGGCTGAGACCCCAGGGTGCTGTGAACCTCCTGCTCGGATCACCCCAGCACCCTGGGGCTCATCCTGGCACCCATCCCAGCACCCCGGGGCTTATCTGGCACCCACGACTTATCTCAGCACCCTGGGGCTCATCCTGGCACCCTGGAACTCATCCCAGAGCCCAGAGTTCATCCTGGCACCGCAGGACTCATCCTGGCACCCCAGGACTCATCCTGCCACCCTGGGATTCATCCCGGAGCCCAGAGCTCATCCTGGCACCCCAGGACTCATCCTGGCATCACCCTGGGGCTCAACCCGGCACCTTGGGGCTCATCCTGGTATCCCAGGACTCATCCCAGCACCCCAGGGCTCATCCCAGCAGCTCCAGATGAGCCTGGAATGAAGGAAAGGAAGGAGGATGAGGAGGGCAGCCCCCACCCCATGCCCGGTCCAGCCTCACCGTAGGACGCCTTCCGCTCCATGTCCGAGCTCCCCATGGTGGGGCCTTTCCTGTGCTCCAGGGACTGGTTTATTCTGGACACATTGGCTGCAAAGGAGAAGGGAAAAATCCTGTCAGGAAGGAGAATCAGAGCTGGCAGGAGAGTGGGGACAGCCAACAGCTCTGGCAGGGACAGATTCACTTCCCAGGCTCTTTTCCAGCTCTAAGAAATCTGGCAGGGATGGACTCACTTCCTGGGCCCTTTTCCAGCTCTGAGGGTCCTCGTAAGGATGGGAGGGGTAATTTGGGCTGGGACCTGCTGGGAAAGTCCCCCATCCTCCCCCTAAAAAGGACTGACGGGCACCAACGTGGCAGGAGTGTCCACAGGCAGCTGGAGCTGGTTGTGAAACTCCAGTCCAGGAAACAAGGGTGGAATTTCCTCACTGTGGAAACCACATCCCATCCCCTCCTTCCTGGTGCTTATGGCACCCCTGGCACCCACAGCACCCTCCAAACCCTCCCAGAACCCCACCATCACCCCTCAAACCCTCCCAGCATTCCCCCAGCTATCCCAGGCATTGGGAATTGGGTTAAGGGCAGGTTTAACTCCTTCATCATGATCTGGGTTTAAATCCAACCCACGCAGGACTGAGCCAGAATCTGGGCTGGGGCTGGGACTGGAGCAGGAGGGAACCAGAAACTGGGATGGGACTGGGAATGGAGCAAGAGGGAATCAGAAACTAGGATGGGGATGCAGCAGGAGGGAGCTGGGGATGAGCTGGCACCCTCCAGGCTCTGGAGGTTCAACCCCCTCAAGCCCCCAAGGACGAGCCAAAGTCCCTCAGTTTGGTCTGTAAAGCACTTAATCCCTCCTCAAATCCCATTGGATTTGAATGGGAGATTTCCATAAAACAAAGGAATACTGGTTCAGTGAGGATGTAAAAGAAAATCATCAGCCAGGGATTCGGTTTAAGCGATTTGAACCAATTTTAAGGTTTTAAAGATGAATTCCCAGTTTCACAACCAGCCCCGGAGGTGGGTTGTGACTGAGCCAGGTGCTGAAATCACTTGAGACGGGCTAAAACACCTGAGAGGGACTGAAATCCCCCCAAAGATGCCAAAGTCACCTGAGAGGTGGGGAGACACTGCTGGAGCCACAATTGTTGGGTTTCCACCCAGACCACCCCAGGTTTGGAGTGATGACTCCAGGGGAACGTGGGCACTGACCCCTCTGGACCCCCAAAATCCCCACTCCCACCGAGGCACAGGGGGGAGTTGTGTTATTCCCCCACTTTAACCTGGAGTGTTTGCACAAGCACGTGGAGTCATGGAATATTGGAATGTTCCCAAAAAGATCACCGAGGCCAACTCCTGGCCCTGCACGGGACACCCCAAAAATCCCCTTGGACACCCTCTGCCCCTTCCGGGCTCTGATCACCCCAAACTGCCACACGCCGTGGGGAGAAAGGGGAGGAAACACCTCCAGGAGCTGGATTTGATCCCTGTAGGTCCCTTCCAACTGGGATATTCCATAACCTCCTGCCACCTCCCAGCCACAGCCCCGGACTTGCCCCAGCAGTTCCCCCCTGACCCAGGACCACCTCCCAGCTCCGACCCCACCACTTCCCTTCTTTGTTAAGCCCCAAACCCCACAGCTTCCACTAAAACAAACCCCTGAAGTTCAGCAATAAGCCACCTTTTCCCAAATTGTGATCCAGGAGAAGCAGCCTTACCCTGGCAGTGAGTCCCACCGGAGCCTCACTCCGTGAGGGGCGAGGAGGACAATCCTGAGGGAACGTTCATTACAGACCCACCTCAGTATCTGCCCCCACACCAGCCCAGCCCGGGCAAGGGTGGGAGGGGGCCCCTTATCTGCTCCAGCAGCTGCTGGGCTGGGAGATGGATCCACCCCCAGCACAGGGAACGTGTCCCACGGGTGCCCAGAGAGCCCTCTGTGGGAAGGTGACCCCAGGGACCCCACCTGGCTGCCCCTGCTGTCAGGCAGGTGTGGAGAGGGAGAAGGTCCCCCCTGAGTCTCCTCTTCTCCAGGCTGAGCCCCCCCCAGTCCCCCCAGCCACTCCTGGTGCTCCAGCCCCTTCCCCAGCTCTGTTCCCAGCTCCAGCCCCTCAATGTCCTGCACTGGGGACCCAAAACTGATTCCAGGATTTGGGGTTTGGCCCCAGCAGTGCCCAGCACAAGGGGACGGGCACTGCCCTGGTCCCAGTGGCCGTGCTGTGGCTGAGACGAGCCAGGTGCCCGTGGCCTCCCTGCCCACCTGGGCACACCTGTGTCCTTTCCCACGGGACACAGGCGTGGGCTCACCAGGCTCTGCCTCCTGGTGGTCAAACCCCCACTGTGACCCCACTGCTGTTACACCCAACAGTCCCAGGCATTCCCAGGGGAACATTCCCTGGAATACCACAAGCCCTGAGCAGAACATCACGAGGTCACTCCACAAACCCGCCGACACGACACGGTGCTGCTGTGCAGGCCTTCTCCACCCACAGAGCAAACAACAATCAAGGAACAACGGGCCCTTGTTCCACCCCCCCCTTCAAACCCACTGTCCAACGGGTCCTTCCAACAGCCACAGGCTCATCCTGCTTCTGCTCCTCCCCTCGGGGCACAGGAGCAGCCTGGCCCCGTGCTGGGAGCAGTTCCTGCCATTGAGGTCTCGTGCCTTTGATGTGGGGCTTTGAGCTGGGCTGGTCCCTGCAGGGCAGGCAGGATCCTCACGGATCCTTCTGGAGCAGTTTTGGGGCCAACATCTTGTTTTGCTCCACACACAGACACCCTGTGGGCTGGTGGTGACACCGGGAGCCCTTCACCTGCTCACCCTGACCCCTTAGTCCAGCCCCTCCAGGTGATGTCCCACTGGGAGCCCCAGGCACAACACCCCAAACTGGCACAGACAGCCCATCGTCCCAGCAAAGGTAACTGGTGAACTGGGTGGTGACTGGTGCTGGGGTAATGGTTGGACGGGATGATCTCAGAGAGCTTTTCCAGCCTTGATTCCCCAATTCCACTCCCTTGACCATATTCCAGGTGTCCCCTGGCACTGGCACCACCAGGGTTGGGACCTGGAAAATCTTTTCCTTTGCACAGACCTGGGGGGGTCCCTGTGGGGAGCAGCACAGGGTCCATCCCTATGGGATTCCTCCCCCCTCCCTCTGCCCCACTCCTACCCATGACCTGAGAGGACAAAGCCAGCAGTGACCTCTGCTCCGGTTGCACGAGGACAGGTCACCTGCCCACATCTGAACAGGTCAGACCAGCTTGTTTCCTGCCCATCCCTCACCCCATCCCACATTCCGGAGCTGGGATATGCCTGGGTGCAGGAGGGCACGGGGGGCTGAGCCCAGCCCTGCTCACCTGCTCACACAGGTGTCCTCTCCAGGAAATTTGGAGCATGACCTGGTTCTTTCCACAGAAACACACGGAAACAACTCCCTGGCAGGGAGGAGCAGCTTCCTCCCAGCCTGCTCAGGAGCAGCTCTCTTCCCAGCCTGCCCAACTCCTGGATTTGGGAGCCGAGCGTGGGACAGGCGGCTGACGCACACCTGAGACTGCGAGAACTTTCACCACCTGTAATAAACCACGCGCGTCCAACCCACAACAACACGGGGCCGTTATTCCACCACCGGCTGCACCGTCCCGCTCTCCCACACCTCGGGAGCTCGTCCGAGGGCTCCCCTGCCCGTGGCCGAGCCTCCTCCCAGCGCGGGGAGGGCCGGAACCCCTCCCGA